GCCCTCTATGAGGTGGATTGATTCAGTGACTGGGATAATTGGGATGGGAGTGTCAGAGACAGTGCGATTGGCACAAGACAGAGTGGAGTTTAGGGCTGTTGTACATAGGGTTGCTATGAGTCGCAAGCGACTCGACGGCACATAACAACAACAGCAACATGTTCCACAGAAGAGAGATGGGCAATCTCATCCTGTGCCGTTAACTGTCTCTGAAAACCTGCTGGATGTGTTCGGCTTTGGTGGCACATAACAAAACAACCCAGGACCACAGTGGTCCTGCCATTGCCAAGACCTTGCCAGCCTTTCCCCCTACCTCCCTCAACATCTACTCTTGGAACTTTTCCATACGTAACTTTACCAGGGACATTGATAACCATATTTCAGAGCCCAGGCACACACAGCATGTCATCTCATTGGGAACACTCCCTGCTTTCTTTCCCAGAAAGAAGGTGAATAGTCACAGGGAAGAGTGTGGTTTTAGAAGAAGGTCGTCAGAGAGAAAATACTGTGGCCTTGGGGAAATCAGGCTCCTCTCATATTCTCATTCAATGCTATCACATTGGTACAAAAATGCTCTGCGGCTTCTCCAGGTCTGAATTTTTTGTAATTAAAAAACTAACTGCCGTCGAGTCGGAACCAATTCATAGATGACCTTTCAGTGGGTTTTTGGAAGCTGTAAGTTGCGTGGGAGATTGCTCATCTTTCTCCCATAGAGCAACTGGTGGATTTGAGCCACTGGAGAGGCACAGCCTGTGGGTTACCGGCAAAACCCCCTGTGGGTCAGAGCTCCTGACTTTTGAGATAGGAAGGTGATAATAGTCACAAGTAAAGACCTGTTGTTGTTGTTTAGGTGTCATTGAGTCAATTCACATGAACAACACATCTAAACTCTGCCCTATTTTGTGCCATCCTCACAATCTCTGACACATTTGAACCCATTGCTATAATCACTGTGTCACTCACCGAGGGTCTTCCACTCTTTCACTGTCCCTCCACCTTCCCAAACATGATGTCTCTTTCCAAAGAATAGCCTCTCCTAGCAACATGCCTAAAGTATGCGAGATAATGCTTTACCATCTTTGCCTCCAAGGAGCACTCTGGCTGCACTTTCTCCAAGACATATCTTTGTGTTCTTTGGGCAGTCCATGGGATAATCCGTAATCTTCTCCAACAATACAGCTCAAAGGCATCAATTCTTCTTCTCAATCCTTATTCACTGTTTAGCTCTCAGCAGCATAGCAAGTGACTGAAAAGACCTGGCCCAAGCTAGGAACACCTTAGTCCTCAAACTGACATCACTGCTCCTCAATAATTTATAAAGGTCCCTGACTGCAGACTTTCCCATCGCAATGCGACTCCTGGTCTCCTTACTGCTGGCACCAAGGGTGTTGATTGTGGATCCAAGTAAGATGAAGTCATTGGCCATTTCAATCTTTTCTCCACCTATCATGATGTTGCCTATTGATCCAGAGCTGAGAATATTTGTTTTCTTGATGTTGAAGTGCAATACATTTTAAAGGCTATATTCTTTGATCTTTTGCAGCAAGTGCTTCAAGTTCTCTTCATTTTTAGCAAGTAGTGTCATCTATGTATCGTAGTTTATTAATGAGTCTTCCTCTGATCCTGATGCAACATTCTTATGCATAGAGTCCAGTTTCTCAAATTATTTGCTTGGCAAATATAGATTGAATAGATATGGAGAGAGGCTACAACCCTGATATACACCTTTCTTTATTTTAAACCATGTAGTGCTGCCTTGTTCTATTCACACAACAATGTCTTGGTATACGTATAATAAGAGAGGTCTTTTGTTATTTGTTTCTTCTGGGCTCTAGTGGTGTGGTCTGTAGGGAGTTGCACTGCCAACCTGAAGACTGCTGCTTTCTCGTGGTTCAAATCTACCAGTGGCTCTGAGGGAGAAAGGTGGACAACCTCCATCCATGCCCTCAGAAACCCTTCTTCCATGCCTCGGATAACCTGAAGAAAGTTGGCTATGAGTCCATTTTGACTCAAAGGTGTTGAGTTGAGCTCTGAGTCAAGAATGATCTTAAACATTCATCTCATAAAAGACCAACATGAAACCTTTAAGGCATTATTTAAAAAAATAATAAAGCAATACAAAACCAAATAATAAACCTCCCTCATTTCTTACTTTCCTTTAATCAGGTCAAATGTGGCTTCAAAGTTTCATCCTCCAATATCAATACAAACTCCAGTGCCATTCATTTGGTCTGCTTTCCACTTCCTTGGGATCTTATGAGAAGCTTGGAGCTTAAAAAGGCTGCCCAATGGGAAAGGTCTGTGGCCTCTAGCTTACTGTAACTGTAATCCCCACAGTGCCTGCATGGCCCTTAGGGGCTGGGGAGTTCCACTGGGGACATTCTTGTATGATGGTAGACGTAGACCTGCAGACATTTGTTGCGGGCATAGAGTGAGTGCTGTCTTTCTTTCCTTGTGGTGCTATAACAAACATGCCCCAAGTGGGTGACTTTGTTGTTGTTAGGTGCTATCAAGTTGAGTACAAATCATAGCAACTCTACAAATGAACAACAAATCTGAACTCTGTCCTATCCTGTGCCATCCTCACTTCCTGACACACTAGAGCCCATTGTTGCAGTCACTGTGTCAATCCACCTGGTTGAGGGTCTTTCTCTCCTTCACTGTCCCTTCACCTTTCCAAGCATGATGTCCCTCTCAAGGAATAGCCTCTCCTAGAAATATGCCCAAAGTAGGGGAGACTAAGCTTTGCCATTCTTGTCTCAAAGGAGCACTCTGCGTACACCTTCTCCAAGATATATTTGTTTGTTGTTTTGGCAGTCCATGGGGTGTTCAGCACTCTTCTACACCACAGTTCAAAGGCATCACTTCTGTCATCCTTCTTCATTGTCCAGCTCTTGGATTCATAACATCTGTGGCTTAAAGGAAGATCAATTTATTTCCTGACTGGCTCAGCTCTGGAGAAGAGTCTTATTTCGGTTTCTGACACCCTAATGTTCCTCAGTTCTTTGGTGAGCTTCGTGTGGCATTAAGTCTTCCCATTTAAGTTTGTTTGTCTCTGTCTAAAATGCTCCTTATAACTCAGAAGTGATTAAGTGTAGGACATGCCCTACACTGGTAAAACCTCCTTATCATACCAAAGGAAGGTGTGCTTCTAAATACGATTACATAGAAGGTATAGGAGGTTAGGTTTCAAAGGTGGTTTTGAAAGAACACATCTAAGTCCAGAGCAAGCACTAAACTGTCTTCAGTTTAGACATTTTGTCACCTCTTGTAAGCTGGGTCCTTCCGAGCCCTACTCATTGCCTGGAAGCCCATAACCTTTGGGCCGTCACAGTCTAGGGAACACAGTCCTTTGCCCTTGGTCTGAGCTTTAAGCATCAGCCTTCATTTCTACCTCTTTTGAGGTAAAAAATTTGTCCCAATCATCTTGTCTCAATCAGTTAGATTAGGAACCTTAAACTGCTTCCGAGAGCCAGGTAGATGATATAAACGAGTTAAACAAGGAAAGCGGGAAACAGTAAGACCTGAAGAAGATGTGCCCATCTTGAGAGAACAGCTGCTCCTCAGCCTATATAGGTTGTCACATGCGAGAAGACTCTAAGTACATCGTTAGCTGGTCCTCACATTTCCAAAATATGTCAGACACTCCAACTTTGATATAAAAAAAATCCTGATTTTTAAATATTAGCAATTAATTTTATTCCACCCCCCCCCACCCCCAGACAGTTTGCAAGCCCAGACAAAGCTCATTGTAAGCCAGATATGGGCCACACAGCCTGAGGATTTGTTTGGGCTGCCTAGACTTTTTAAAACAAAGCTTATTTGGAATTGTCTCCTGGCTACTGGCAACTTCTCTATTTTGTTTCTCTGAAACAGAAAAAACCCTTAACTTCTTTTGCAAAGTGAGGAACAGGGCTCAAAGCACAAAGCCTTCTCTGGGTCTGTACCTGGGAAGGGGAGAGTCAGAGGGGCAAGGATTTCCTTGTAGTTTACAGAGGAAGGAAGACATGAAGGGGGACGGGGAAGAGGAAAGGACTGAGTGAGAGAAGGAGAAGAGAAAGAGAGTGGGAGAGAGGGAGGAGAGAAAGTCAGGACTAGGGAAGAGAGGCAAGAAAGGGAGCAAAGACAGAAAGGGAGCGGAGGAGGGAAGGAAAGGGCAGAAAGAAAAAGAGGAAGAAAGGAAGGGGAGGGGGGAAGAAAGGGAGAAAGGAAGGGGAAGAATTAAGAAAATGTGTAGGTAGGAAGAAGAAGGAGAAGGAGAAGGAGAAGAAGAAGAAGAGAAAGAAGAAGAAGAAGAAGAAGAAGAAGAAGAAGAAGAAGAAGAAGAAGAAGAAGAAGAAGAAGAAGAAGAAGAAGAAGAAGAA